CTGGGCACCACTGGAAAGAGTCTGGCACCATCCTCTGACACCCCTGGGAGATCTTTGTATGGATTTATATGAACTGGCAGTTTTGTTGTCCCTGTGAAGGCTCTCCCAGACCTCTGAGCAGCCCTGTTCTCTTTCTGTACAGTTTCCCGTCCTGCTTCCACCCTTTTAAGTGTTACCTGTAAAATCTGAGGTGCAGATTCTACATAAAATTCAGGTTTTTCCTCTTTGTTGCTTGCTTCTGAATAGTCATCACTAATAGTGACTTGGAAGTTTGTCCCCTTTTATTTTTCATATGTATTAGTATTTAATGCAGGACCAACTCTTGCAGAACCCCCCTCAATGACTTTTCATTGGCTCCAGGAGTTAGACTTGATGATCCTTGTGGGTCCCTTCCAACTCAGAATATTCCATGATTCTGTGATCCTCTGATCTCAGCTGGGATTGGGTTTTCTTTTGTTTTGATAAATACAAAGTGTTAAATTTAATTTCACTTAACTTACCTTAATGGGTTTATAATGCTTTTGTCAGTTTTCTGGGCTTTGGGGAAGTTTATTAACCTACACCTAAGGGGAAGGCAGTCTGTGGATAGATCCAGGAGCAGCACTCATCCCACTGTTGGTGTCGCTGCGTTGTGAGGAAAGCAGAGGGTGGCATTTTTATTTGCTGGGGCAGCAGATTCCCATTTCCAGGATCTCATCCATGGCCAGGCGGGTTCAGGCAGGTTTATGTTCCATGGATGCTGCTGGAATATTTAAATGACTGTCCTGTGTGAAATGTTCCTGGACTGTGGTATTTACTCCGCTCTCATTCCTTAGGAGCCTCCTGGTGATCCATCGCAACAGGAGGCAAAACAGAGGTACCAATGAGACAATTGAATTTTGGTCTTGCATCTAATAATAATTTTTAACCATTTACTCTGGGGTTTTTTGAGTATTTAATTTCTTTGGAAGACTCCCCCTCATTTGTTTTGTTGTTGGAAAAAACACCTTGGCTCTTCAAGGTTGGGAAGAGTTCGTGGTACAAATCTTGAAGGCTGGCACAGCTCCTCTCAAACTGCTGCTTTGTCCGAGTGACCACTTTGGGTTTGGCTCCGTTACTGCAGCAGGAACAGCCTTTCCTAGCTGGTTTGGTTTTTCTGGGATAGCTGTTGCAGTTAAAACTATGAAACAAAATGCTTTGTGTGGGAACAGTGTTTAGTATTTGTGCTCAGGGGAACGCTGAAAACAAATGTTTGAAGAGCTGACTTGGCACACAGTCCAAGTTTGCATTGACTGAAATGCATAAACTAGAATTGCAGATAGTCAAATATTGCAAATATATGAAGACTTAGTGAAAAATGCCAAATACATAATGAGGTTTGGGTTTGTCTTGCCATTGGAAGGACTATTCCTTGTGCCTGCTTTACCATACACTGCCTTGGGATGAATTCCACATGGAACTGAACACAGGATCCAAAGTGGGTAGTCTCTGAGGTGTAATCATAAGCAGTAAGAAGGTGTAAGTATTAAATTCCATCTTGATTTCTTGGAAGACATTGCCAGCTGTGTAACTTCAATGTACATAGAAGTGCCTGTGAGAGGAAAAGCTGTAAAAGAAATCATGTAACTATGAGGTTTTAAGTGATCTTCCATGAATCAAAAGTGTTCTGTAGTTTGCTGTTCTGTACATGTTATTTTAGGTACTTGAAATCCCACTTTTAATGTGTGGTCCATTTTCCCTTACAGGGAAGCAGAGATAAGAAATACTATTTTAGCCCAAGTTCTTGATCAAGCAGCCCGTGCAAGATGTGAGTATCCAAGTAACTTTCTAATCAAAATTTCTCACCTAGTGGACTCCAGTGCTGCTCAAATCCAGCAGGTGCTTGTATGGAAGCCAGACTAGAAAAATACTGTTGTTGCTGAGAAGATAAAACTTGCAGCAATATCAGTGATTGGAGGGGAGGGTTTAACTGACATCTGAATAATGTTAATCAATTATTTTTTTTTAATTAATAATAGGAATTTTAGGGAAAGTAAAAATTGGTTAATCTAATAATGAACAAATACTTTAAAGTAAGAAATGTAACTGCCTTGTGTCTGGCATAAGTGAAAATGCTTTTTTCAATTTCTTTCATAACCCTGGCATGAAGGAGACGATTTCAAAGGGACATTTGTCACTTTTTAGTTATTTGGTGAAGGTATTTGAGAGTGTTTTAAACCCAAATGAGCAGAGCCTGTTTTTGTTGCAGTAAGCAATTTAGCACTTGTGAAACCAGACAAAGCAAAAGCAGTAGAGAATTATCTTATACAGATGGCAAGATTTGGACAGCTAGCTGGAAAGGTGAGTATCTTTTCCCAGTTCTTTCTCACATATATTCATTTTCAAACCCAATTCACTCTAAAAAGAAAAAACGATGTTTCTCATAGCTGTAAATTAAATAACTGAAAAGGCAATTGAGAGCTTTTAAATATTATTATATAATTCCATCAAAAACCTTTCATAAGAAAGGAAATTGCGATTCATTGTTTTTTGATACTAAGCATTTCTCAGTGTTTGTACAGCTGGTCTTTCACTCTCCTAGGTATCAGAACAAGGTTTGATAGAAATACTTGAAAAAGTGAGTCAGCAAACAGAAAAGAAAACAACAGTGAAGGTAAGCTCTCTTTCCTAAATGTGATGTTGTTACAAAACAGCAGAAAAATAGCAGATACTGGACCAGTTTGGTTCAGGGCAGAACTTGGTATTTCCACCTCTCTGCCCTGCACTGGTGAGTGCTGGGATGGAATCAGAGCAGGAACATCTGAGCTGGGGTGTGACACTGGCAGCCCCACGGGGAGAGGAGGGATGGGGGATGTTCTGCTCCAGGTAGTGCACTGTCAAATGCAGAGTGGGAAAGGCTCATGCCAGCCTGGAATTACTGTGACCCCTCAATTTTCACCTTACCTGTTTCATTTTAGTTCAACAGAAGGAGAGTACTGGATTCTGATGAAGAGGACGATTACTGATACCACTGTAAGGCTGCCAAACGAACGCCTGGAGAAGGGCAACGTGCTGGTATCAGGCAGAACGCAAGACCTGAACGTGTTTACGCTTCTTCACTTTTTTTTTTTATTATTATTATTATTATAAAAGGCCAACAAATGAACTTGTAAAATAAATTTGAGAAGGGGGATTTTATAACTTAAATTTTTGTAGTCTCAGAGTCTCGAGCAGTGCAAGGTTCCCCACTTCATGAGCTTCATGAGCATGAATGTTTTGTTGCCCCTTACTCAGTGTGTAAGCTCTGCTTTCAGCCACTGCACACACTTAACTTGCTGCTGGTGGAGATACCAAACATAGCAGGAGCCAAGTGAGAAGCTGGGAACAGCCACCCTCCAGGAGTTTAAAATCTTGCCTCCAAGTCCCAGAAGTGTTAGAAAGGAGATTTCCTGAGCCCCTGAAGGACCCCTGTCGAGCCATTCAATGGCTCTCAACTCCTTAGTAGAAATTTAAAAATAAAGTGAAGGCATCAAATACTGTTTGGATCAGGGGACTCCATATCAGGCAGTCTGTGTAAAGAAATGGTAACAGCAAACAGCTGAACCACTGCTCTGTGAAGTTATTGGGCTATCTCCAAAAAAGCAAGTTAACTGTGTAACAGCACTGTTCAGACACTTGGTATCATATGTTCTTAAAACTACCTCCACTTTTATCAAATGGCTGGAGTGTTTCTTACTGGAAAAAAAAAAAAGACCATTTTCCTAAACTTTCTGCAACTCCTGCATGCATAAATTAAAACTGAACTTGTGCTACACCTTTATTCAAAAATATGGTTATGGAAGTTAGTAGGATAAATACTGTAATGTGTTGATAAACACTCTACCACCACAGACCCCTTATCTGACATAACAGGATCATGTATGATTCCACCTGCAGTGTTTTTTGGAACAGAATAAAATTATTTCAAGTGAGCACTAGTGGGTGTTTTTCATCTTGTGTGAATGTGGTTAAAAAAAGTATTAAGCAGTTGTTATTTTTGTTTCATTCAGACTAGATCTGGAATTTTTCTTGAATATCAAGGTTATTCTTACAGGTAAGGACAAGTGACTTACTCTGGGTCATCTACAGTGTCACAAGAGGGAAGAAAACCTGGTTTGTCTCTTTCCTTTCAGGTCTTTTGGCTTGTAAGAGCTGAACATCCATCCTTTTTTTTTTTTAATGTGAATGTAGAGCTGGAAAAGGAGGTTATATGAAAATGTTCAATCTCACTAACAATTATATTTTGTACACCTCTGTGCCATAAATCCAAAACCACACAACCTAATAATCTGTGAATGTGGGAGGGAAGAAAATCATATTGAACTGAAGAGTAAATTCCAGGAGATCCTTTCATTTACAACTGGATACAAGGTAAAGTCTCCAAATGCCTAAAAAAACCAAGCAAGGAAATCTGCACAACAGATCAATGCTTGGACAAAAGGACTCAAAGAAAACAGCATTTTTCAAGAGTTATTTTACTAGTTTTTGCTTTCTATCATTTGGCACAAATCCAAGGCACATCAGAAAATCATATGAACTCATAAATTATTAGAAAAATAAACACATTACCATCAAATCCAAATGTCATTTGACATTTTAACTCTTAGATTAAAAAGTTATTTGAAAAACCCATCAGTCTGTCTTCCAGCTTTGTACTTTGCCAGGCAGGTTACTAATACCACAGTTAAAAGAAAATTATCCATACAAATAGTTTGGAAATAGAAATAAAAGGCAAGCTGGATGTGATGAGCCAAGAATAAAAAATCCTGCACTGTCAAACCTGGCTTGTGCTATTTACACATAACTGAACAGTGGAAAATGAAGTTGAAATCTAAGCAGCCACCTCATAGTTCCCTGTGATCACCTCAGGGAATGGGGTGGGATTTGGCCTATTCCAACCAAAGCTCACTGATGAGAGAAGTACCTTTCATATGGGAATGTCACCTTTTTAAGAGCAGTCCAGAGCAGGCTCCAAAGCAGTTCTGTCTGCAGATGTTGCCCAGGTTCAGAATCATGAACAGTGGTGCATTTTGGCATTACTTGCTTTAGAGGAAGGGAAAACCCAACTATTTTGTGTGTCCCTACACGCTTCTGCATTGTTTTTTATTAGGCTGTGAACAGCCAAGTCCAAAGTTCAGCTTTGTCAAGGGCTCTCTACTTTTTCCCCAGTATTTTGGCTCCTGTGTAGGAACTTGATGCTGCAGCTCTAATACAGGGGAGCATTGCCAAGGAATCAGCAAGGATTGCATCCCTTCACATTAATAATGCAGTGCTGCAGATGTTATGCACTATTGTCTGCCCAGCTACTGAACTATACAGAAATATATACTATAATGGTTTGTAACATTACAATAAAAATAGAGACATTTCAGTTATCTCTGGCAATAAATACCTTGTTATCCAATATATCTTTTTATATATATATATATAAATATATTCTCAATGTAGTGATAAAAACTGAAAAATGCAAAAATTATTCAAAGACTTTTAAAACAAAGTGGGTGGCTGAAAAATACAATACAGGGTTTCATTTGGTTTACTGTTACATAGAATTTTTTAATAAGTGCTAAGTAGGATAGGAAAGTAATTCTGCTGTCTACATCTTGGTATGTCCCTGTTTGTGAGATCAGTAATGATCTGGCTGTTAGTTACCTCCACCATAAACAGGAGTCAGTCTTCAAAGTGCTAAAACATTCAGTTTGTGCTGCAGAGCTGTCCTGTCCTCTGCTCTGAGCACAGGCCTGCGAGTGGCACTGATGTCTCTGACACACAGTGAAAGGTTAACAAAACTCACACCACCGAGTTCCTCAGCTTTTGGCATCAAATTCAGTGATCTGAAATGGAGTCCTCACAGCAGTCTTGTGACTGAGAAACACCCAGACTTCCAGGGCTGGATGAACCGCTGTCACTGCCATCCTCTGCTGGAAGGGGCACGTTAACCGTGTGTCTCCGCTGCATTAACTTGCTCCTGTGAGGAACTTCCATCGTGTCATCGTGTTCCACAAACTCACCACTGCTTCCCCTGTCCACACCCTCAACTCTGCTCTGGGCCAGCGTTCCCACAGACTTTAACTTGGTTTTATCAAAGCTTTTAATAGCCATCTGTGAGGAGAGAGGAAGGGGATGTGAAGAGCATTACCTACTTTCTTCATTACAAAGAAGTAAAATGAATATGGTGTTATAATTATCACATCAATTGCATGGTATTCTTTATACTGAGATTGCAGCAAAGGATTAAAAATGGCAGGCTTTGTAGGAGAGTAATTATACTTTGGTTATATATGAAAAAATAAGAAGAGGCCACATCAGTACCAGAACTGAAAACAGAACAGGCATTCCAAAACTTATTTTCACTGCAGTATCCCAACATCATCCTAACTCTTCTAAACACCTTTGGTAATGCAAGTCTCAAGGTACCTGAAATTAACAGCCCTTTCTTTTACTATTAAGAAACATGGAAGTAGCAATACAGACACGGTCAACCAGGCACTGCTGAAGGTAAAGGCAAAATTTCCCTGCTTCCAGTTGTTACTGGTGAGGGAAGAGACACCCACTCTTCCCCCTTCTCCCTTAATGCCTCTTTTTGGTCATTCCAACTACTGTATCTTCCATTTCCACACCTGCTCCTGATTTTTCCTTTACAGAGGGGGTGGCTCTCCTTGATTACTGGCACAACTGAGAGCTGTGTGGCTCGTGAATTCATTGTACAGCCACAGCTGTATGAACTCACCACAGCACATGGCTGAAGAGCTGTGTTTCATGGTCACATATTAGTTTTTTGACACCTGTGTAATGACATGACACACTGTATTCAGTGAGCCACAGTTATAAAATCTAAATCCCATGTTTAATTAAGTAGTGGAATATTATCATTAATACAATAAATAAAAAATATTACAGCTTTATAGCATTAATTTGGCGTTCTCGAGGCTCTCTGCAAATGTTCAGTCTGCTAGGGGCTCTATGAAATAGAACAGTATCCCATTTTCTAGATGGACATGAGCAGCAGAGCCTGCATTTCCAAGGCTGTGTCAATCTAAAGATGGGCAGCTGCTGGACCAACCTGGTCAAACCTGCTTTGTTTTGGACAGGTTAGTTTTTCTCTTGATTTAAGAGTGCTGACATGGTTCAGCAGAAGGTGCAACAAGAGCCAAAGGCAGTGTAAGGAGGAAGAGGGAGCACATGCTCTGGGTGAAGGGCAGCATCCAGCAGTCAGGTTGGTGTGGGGTGCCAGCACACCCCCCAGCAGAGATGGATCTATCACATATATTTGTGTCACAGCTGACAATGCAACATGCACTTTGCTGTCACCCTTGCAGGCAGTCTCCTCCTCTTACAAGCAGATTTATGCAAGCCCTGATTTTAATCTACTGAAAAATGTGTCTCTCGCCAAAAGCATCCCTGCTTGGCTACAGCTCCTACAACGTGCATCGTTTTTCAGTCCTAGGTTTTGCTGTAATGACACAGAAAACAAGAGATGAAGCCTGCAATAAGAGGCTTAGGAGGTTTAAAAGTAAGAATAAGGTGTTTAAGAGGTGTTATTGAAGAGCACCACTGAAGTTTGAACAACGATGAACCAGCAGCAATTTGGCAAACAGGTCAAGTGACTCAGCACCCATCACTAGTAAAGAAACTTTCCCCTTATATGTACCCATAGTAATAGAAAACAAACATATTTGCTATATTATACAAATAATTCAAGCAAGTATTTCCACTTACCTGGTGCAGTAACTGATAGTCAAAATTAGGGACACTTTTATCTCTTGTTATTGTTCTCCGTAAATGTTTTTCTCTAAAGAAAATTTTAAAGAAATGAAAGAGATTAAATGTCTTTACATAAGCCTTTCATAAAAGCCTCTATCACAGAAGCTCCACAAGGTGGAACTCTCTCACCAGAGACAGGCTGCTCCCTTACACCACCTTCCCTGTATTTTACTACAGAATAAATATTAACATTAAAAAATGTAACAGGCAAACCCCAACCAATGAGTGAACACTAACATTACATTTTTCAAGCTGTCTGGCTCTGAAACCCTTAAATGATGGTACACCAAGTATTAGTGCAAACCCAATTTTAAATACATTTTAAATACACTTGTAAGTGCTCCTTCAACTCCCAGTGAGCATTTCGTGCCCAGAACATCTGCCTGGGGATGTGAACGTGCAAGCCTTGGGGGATTAACATCCACTGTCACACCAGCATGTGATGTGTCACCATGACTGGCCCTCTCTGGGCTTTATTAGCAGCTGTATTTCTTGTTCATGTATGGGAAACAACAAACATACTCTGAGGAAGCTCCTCTGCTTACTTGTTAAATCTGTTAATTGATTGGACCAGTTGAAGTTGTCTGCTTATGGGATCATCGGCTTTCTCACAGGGCTTAGAATGCACTGGGGGTTTAAAAGAACAGGCAGCTAAAATTACAACTGAGTCACACTTAGGAATTAAAAAAAACACAGTTCTGAACGAAAAGTGGTCTCTTCTGACATTAGATTTTAAATTTTACAGTAAAACTGTAACAGTACTAACTTGAATCAGAGTGGCAATTTGACTTTGGAAATTTTAAAGCATTTTAATTCGCAGGAGTAAACATTCTTCATCAGATTAGCATGACTGGCCAAGCTTCTGCAGAGACTGTGAAGTTTTACAAACCTGAATTAACACACAGATGCCAAACATATCTTCAATTGTTCTTTTAAAACTATTCTCATAATATTTGAAAGAACTATCTCAATTTTAGGCATCATCACACTGTGATTAACTGTGGCTTTCCATTAACCAGACACTGACAATCTTTCCAAGGGTGGAATGCAAGAGTTATTTTGAAAACTCATGGATGCTGAAATGGGCACTCCTGCTCCTCATCTTCCTAGTTCCTGCTCTGCAGCCTCCCTGCCTGGCTCAGCACAAAACTTGTTATGTCCCTTGCCCCAGGTTAGTGAACTCTACCAGCTTCAAAATGCACCTGAAACACTTGTGAGCCAGCACAAGGGGAGCAGTGGATAACCCAGATGAGAGGGTGAGAGGGGAGGAGGGATGGTAACCCCTCTCTCCCGTGGCCATAAGGCACTGCAGCAGCTCAGCTGCACTGTCACTCTGTGCCACGTGTCCCTGCACACTGACTGAGGCTGTGCCACATCCTGCCACTGCTCAAAGTCCTCTGCAAACTGTGCTGAAAGGTTCAGACAGTTCCCTCTCTAGCTCTTATTTCTGTCCCAAAATATGAGAGACAGCAATGAATGAAGAGTCACTCCCTGACCTGCTTCAGGGCAAATTAAATGACAAAGTCATTTAAACCTGTTTTACTTTGCACTGAAATGCACAGTTAATACATGGTTAATTATATAATCTCAAATGTGGTGTGTTTTTTAACTTTAAATGCTTCTGTATGTGAAATTTGCACAGATACCTCAAAAAAGTGAAAACTAACTTTGCAGCAATGTCATGAATATAACACAAAGTCTGCTGCACTTACAGTATTCTAGGTGCTACCTATCATAAATATGCAAAATAATTTACAGTTCTTTAATCATATGTAAATCAATTACATTAAATATTTTATGTATTTGCATATGAATTCCTAAATCCCTTTTTATTCATACCAGTGGAAATATGACAGGTACCTTTTTTCCTTATCTTGACAGTAGCACGCTGCTCACTCTCCTTCTCTCCTTCTGCTGATGTGGGTACAGAGCTTGGTGCTGCTTCCAGCAACTTCATGATATTTGAGTTCTTCATTTTAAGAGTTTCCATATTTTTCACCATTATTAAAGAAAAACATCAGTACAATTTAGGATTTTAGTCTGTGCAGAGTGTGTCAATTAATTGCTGCCAAAATGAATGTAACACACATGAAAATATCTCATTATAAACATCAACCTGAAGTTGTATCATTTTGAGTAGGGGCAAAATCAGTGTTCCACCAGTTGCACTGTACCAGAGCGATGATTTAGTAGCCTTGACCTCTTATTTTAAACTATATAATTTATGGTTAAGCTAATTTCAGTTCAAACAGTAATATACATACTAAAATTGATTCAGTACAGAACTTAGTGGTCATTATGCTACATCTCAGGCTATTTAAGCATATAAAGAGAGGGACCATGCATCAAATCCCTTAAGGATGAAAAAATTCTGTATCATTTAATATTAGACAGAATGAGAATGTTATTGCTATTAATAAAAGGGAAGCTCACAGTTATCTATTGCAAGATAAAAGGTATGAAAAGGTTTGAAGGGCAGGTGGTGGTGGGTGGAAAAAGGAAGATTGCTGGCAGTGCAACTGATTAGTGAAAGGTGTTCATTTGCCAGCATTTCTTCTGCTCTCTCTGCCATTACATAATTTAATGTCATTTTTATTTACATGTGTGCTTTCACTCTTTCTAGACTCATCCTTTTTGCCTAGGATAACTTATTTTAGAAAGAGGTTTCATATAATCATTTGTACGTTGTACAATAAACAGGCATTTGAAGTCTTTGTACCGCACGTGATTGTTCAACACAGAAGTCTGGCAAACATTGTCCTGGCAAACACTTCTATTTGCTGCCTTTCCCCACGCTGTGCACGGGGAACTTTGGGGATGGAGGTGCCTGCACTCACGGGCTCAGCACAGTCTGCAGGGGTGCAGCTCCTGTCGTTCCTCAGGTGCGTCAGGGCCCCGTTCTGCAGGAGCAGCTCCACCAGGGCCTCCTTCCTCCCCACCACGGCCTCGTGCAGGGCTGTGTTGCCCTTGGCATTGGAAAGGTTCACAGAGGCTCCACGCTGGATGGACAGCAAAATGAAATCCCACTTAAAAAGGCAGGGTAGCACGGACTGGAGATGGCACATTGTTCTGTTTTCCTCTCCTTTCCCATGTAGGAACAAGGACAAGGCAGCACAGTCCTCTGCAGTCACCATAAGCCATCTGATCATATTATTTCCTCCTCCCTCATAACCACAACTTCCTGGATAAGCTCACTTCATTTTTGCATATATCTACTATACAGTCCAAGTTTAGGAGATACTTAAAACCCCCCCAAAACCACAATAAAAACTCCTATGGGATAGAATCATAAGCCAGAAAACCCAACACCTGCCACATAAAAGTTCCATAAAAACAGCTAACTGTACAATAGTAAGGTAATATTTATGTAATTAAAATCTGTGAAGGGAAGGCATTGAAAAGAGTGAGTTAACAAACCCTCTTTCTTTTTTCTCTGAGCAGTTTTGACAGAAAAAGGTCAAACTAAAAATACTGATCCTGAGTACTGGGTAAGCACAGATACCACATGAGAAATACCACTCTGAACATTCTGTTTTCAGTGATCTTACCTGTAACAACAGGGCAGTAGTCTCATAGTGGCCATTCAAGCATGCATAAATTAAAGGAGTATTTCCATATATATCCTTTTTGTTTTGTTTAGCATTGTAATCCATCAGACATTTTACCACCTATGGAAAGAAAAAACTTTTTAATTTAAGATACCAGCTAACCACAATCATGCAGTGAAAGCCCCCCCTACTTTTTTTAACCATTTTTCTGGAAATCTAGATTGAGAAAGGGATGGAAGAAAAAAGGATGGAGAAAACAAGTGTCACATTTGCCAAAGAGATGACAACCACAAACAACTGTTCCTATCAGATTAAATTTAACACGCACTTTTTAAAAAACCCAAAACTTAAGCAACTTCAAGAAAGGCCAGAAAATAAAACTCGAGTTATGGGGAAAATATACATAACCAATAACTAACCCAAAGATCAAAACCAAACTACCACAGCAGCAGTACCCATCAGACTTCTCCCAACTCATAAGAACGCTTGGAAGGAGTTCTTTATGTTGTTAATATCCCATGAACTAACCTTCATTAACCTACAAGTGCAAGTTGTGTTCTTGTTTTTTCTTGCTTCCCTAGTGCTTTTGTCTTCCCATCATCTTCACAGTTCTTTTTTCCTCCTGCAGTCCTCAGCTCCTTATTCTTATAACCCTAGTTTTCCACTTTTCTGCATCTTCCCATTTGCTTGTCTGACCCTGCTTTTTCAGGACTGTTATTCTTCCCCTCTCACTTATTCTTCCTCCTGTATTAAAACCCTACCCTCAGTGAGGGACGAGGTTATCTGCTACCCTCAGAGCTCAAACTGGCTCATGAGTCGAAAACACAGCAAATATTTAATACTGTGGCTACTGAAGATACCAAGAGGTGCACATAACCTCCTTGAAGAGAAGGTATTGAGGAACATACACAGGAAGATTCAGCTGCATAAGACATTTTTAAAGTGTCTGAAGTATGACAGTAGCTTTTGGCAGCACTTGCATTAAACCAGTATTTCAGATCATTTAGTAAGAAAAGGTGTCTACTGAAACAGTTTCAGCTGAAAGATCCCCTTTCCACCTGGAGATTTTAGACACTGAAAGGAAAAGCAGAATCCCGAACTAATTTTCTCTGTTACTGGTTTAGTCTTGTTGATAATTTCCCACGGCAGCTTTTTTGCTGGTGACTAAGCGTCCAACAGCTTTATTTAGAGGACGAGTTACCTGGAAGTGCCCTTTCTGGCAGGCCAGGTGAAGAGGAGCTGCGTGTTTTGCGTTCTTGGCACTGACACTGGCCCCGTGTTTCAGCAGGAGCGAGACGAGCTCGGAGCGCCCGTGCAGCGCTGCCATGTGCAGCGGGGTAAAACCATCCTGGTTGGAAACGTTCACTCCCAGCCCACTGGCAGAGATCCTGGAAAATTTCTGTTGAGGAAAAGACACCACGAAACTATAAAAACAATCATGCTACTTTCTGTTTAACCAAAGAGCAGCCAAATACCTGCTAAGCTTATACAAACCAGGGAGATGGATGTTACAAGAACTTCTGCTACAGAGCCTAACTTGAGGACTCCAGGAAAAGTCAGCAAACCAGAGCAGCTGGGTGGTATTTTTGAACAGAACAATGTTATTGTTCTCTCTTTTCTTCCAACATGATAACTTCATAGACAGAAACTCCAGGAAAAGTATTCATGATATTAAAAAGAGACTAAAGCAGCACAGGTTGAGAAGAAGTAAAACTCACAGGTTTTTATACAGCTGTTAGGATGTTCATACTGGATATTAGTCAGTTTTAATGAGTTACTTTCATTTATACAGACATTTATGCTATTCAAGACAGACACTACACACCTGTTTTACTGCTACATGAAGCTTGAGGTAATAAGGATAAAAACTAAAATTAATTTTACTCATCTGGAAGCAATACTGGCCCAGAGAGCAGATTCCCCCAGGGAGTCAAGATAAGGAAACTATGTACAAGACAGCTTACACAGCAGTACAGAACACCTTCTTTCACTCCTCTCACAAACTGTGGGTGCCTGACATTATAGTGCTGGACAGTCATTCTGCCTGTCCTCAGTGTGCTTTTCAGTGTGTGCTGCCCAACACAGGGGGTTAAGATTAGTTAACAAGTTCCTTCTTCTCATTCAGCAGGCAAGTAAATTGCACTGCATATGCCATTCCTTCCCCTGTTAGCAATAAGATGAGCTTTATGGTCTCAAGCTCTGGCATCTTTAGCACATGATCTCTGTACTGAGGGCACATGGACACCCATTACCAGAGACTAAAGCACAGTGTGAATGTGAAGCAAGTAATTGGTTTTCTATTTCCAAGAAACTGGGATCATTCCTTGTGTAAAAAAAAGAGAAAAGACAAGAGTGTATTGTAAAGCCTGATTCTCTTCTACAGTCCATGATAAATAAGAGGGAAGGAAGTCTTTGCAACTGAAAACAAAGTCTTTGTAATTATATTTAATCTCTGAAGAGGTTTTAGATGTAGCCTGTAGGAAAGATGTCATGCAATTAAAAAAAGACTTTATCAGCATTACATTGATTACAGGATTAGCAGGTATTCCTTGCTAAACTGATTACTAAGGTAAGTAGTGTGACAGTTAGCAATGTAAACTACAAAAAAGAACCAGAGGCTCAGAAAAGCATTATTATTCAAAGTTGCCTACATATTCTAAAAGCAAACTGTTTAGCTTTCTCACTCCATTAGGTATTGAGCAAGTCTTTGAATACTGTTCCTGTATCCAAAATTTTCAACAGTGCAATTGAAAAAAGGAACAATTTCATGACACCAGATGAACTGTGAAGATCTGTATATAGCTAGTTTCTTTTTAAACAGAGATACAGAGGTGCTGGGCCATAGGAATGCTACTTTCCTGGAGCTAAAACTTACATTAAAAGAATATAAATTAATCTTTTTACTGAATGAATATTCCAACCTTTTGTGCTGGCCCACATTTTGAGCACTGGCATAATGGATGGCAGAATTCTGGTTTTGATGTACTGACTGTGTCATCCTCATCTTCCAAGTCTTCTTCCACCCATTCCAAGAGATAACGTACCTGGCATAAAAAGCAAGCCCTTCTTTATAGAGTCCAAAGATTCCACGTCCTAATAAATCTGCATATGTAGACAAGTAAGATTTCACAAACATACACTTGTGAATCTCTCAGGGAGATATACAGCCACCTCCTGGCATCAGCTGCCCACAGGCCAAATTAAATCAAATGTTACTGTTGACAAAGCAGTTAGAAAGTTCTCCAAGTACAGCAGTGAAGTGAATTATAAATTACTTCCTGCTGCCTAATCACAATTTTGGTGTTCACCCATTCTCAAACCCTCCAAATCCTTTTAGCTCAGATGATTTGTGCCATCTCATATCAATGTGAATTTTGTTTCATCTTTTGCTTTAAAGAACATAAGAAACAACAAGGACAATGACATTTAACTGACACCCAAAACTTTGCAGGGGCATTAACTTTTCTTAGGTCTGTGAATTCCCAGGAGCTGGACACTTTTTCTTCCATGTATGATGCCTCATGTTTGAGGGAGAGGCTCTTCAGTGAAGACAATCTCAGGACTCAGAGCATTCACATCCAATTTACAAACAGTGATGATTACTGCATGTTAATTTTACATTACATTTTAGGCAACAACAAAAAAAGCTGTTTATGAAATACCTTTTTACCTTGAAATGCATTAATCTACTGTTCACTAAAGACATCTCAGAATTAGCAGTGATTGTATTAAGTCTCTATTATTACACCACCCAGCAACGTTAAGCCTGACACCTACCCCGTGTATCATTCTGAGTTTGTAAGCTCAATGGGACAAATGTTTCAGGAACTCAAGACAGAAAGTGGGAATTAAATTGGTTTCATAATGCAAGGGACAGTCCATCAGCAGTCACTTTGCCTAGCTGCATGCCAAGGACTAACATCACGGCACAAGAAAGACCAGGGCACTCCTGTGTTTTGGTGAGATCTCCCAGAGCTCCTGCAGGTCCTCTGGGAAGTTCCCAGACACAGCAAGTTACAGGATTACACAGTGGGTGTGAAGCATGTCATCTTGTGAAGGGTTTTCCTTCTACTCTTTTTTTTTTTTAGCAGTTTTTAAGAGAGCTGTGAAAAGATGTATCATTGCCTTGTTACTGTGAAGGAAGATTGGTCCTTTGCCTCCCCACTGAACAGCAACAGCAAAATCGAGGAACCCCTTCTGCTGGAACTGAGACAGAGGCATCTTTGCTGGAGTTGTGGGCTGGGCTTGGTGTCACAGACCTGGGCCAAGCCAAGAGCTCTACAGTTCATAGTCAAGAAGAGAATGGGGACAACAGAATTTCCTGCAGGTTCCTCCCACTCTATTTCCTCTCACACTTGTCAGCAGGTTGTGCTCCAACACATTAACAATCTCTCCAATTAAACACATGCAGCTAGAACAAATCCTAGGAGAACCAGTAAGGGCCAAATACCTGATTCTGAATGACAACAAAATTGAGATAGAAAAAGGATCTTTTTCCACAGAGAATATTGCTTTCCCTGCAAATTCCATGTTGTCTTCTGGAGTAAAAAATAACCTTCTCTCAAGTTTGCCTGCTCATGGAAGGCCAGCTCAGTGAAGCTTTACTACTTCTAAAATAAATAGTGCTGTCACTTCATTTTCCCCTTTCCCTGCACACTGACCAAGACCCTCACAACCAACTTCCTCCTCCTCCTGTCACAGCTCAATACTGCTGCTCTACTATCCAATACCCAGCTCTCAACATACTGATACCAGCAGCTCACAAAAATCTGAACTTTGAACTCCCATGCACACCTCTGTATAACTACAGTGGAACAGTTCTTAGTTTGTTTAAAGGGTTTTTTTGCCAAAATATTAACTGTACTTTCAAGCAGACACACACTGAACCACCTCAGGAAGTTGTCCATAATCTCCATTTCCCAAGTAATTTGTCATCTAAAACATCCTTTCCATTGCAGAGTAACACACTGCCTGGAACGCTGAGCCGAGCATTCCAGGGGCTCTGTGCCCTGTATGCCAGCCTTTGAGCTGCTCCACATTTATTTTAGACAAGATATTTGCCTTTTTTTTGTGGTGGATTTGCACATACCCCTTCCACTGGATATGCTGGGTAGAAGGAATTTCAGAAGAGCATTAAATCCAGTATCTACGCTGAGACAATGTCAATTCTTCCCTAATACCATTGACAGAAGTTTGAGCAATCTCTGCTCAGATACTTCTGACAGAACAGGCTCTGTAACCTCCCAGGTCTGTTCTACTGTTATCCCACCCTAATAATAAAAGGGGTTTTTTTATTTAAATCTAAGTATCTCTGTGGAAAGCTGAACAGTTCACGCATCACTACAGAGCCATGGTGCACACCTGACCACCACATCAATCACTGAGAATGAAGGACTGAAAATTCATGTTAAGCAGGATCAACCACTTCTGCACCACACTTCACTGACAGAGCCACAGGTCCCTGCCTACAGCAGGGGGCTGGAACAGGATCATCTTTAAGGTCCCTTCCAACCCAACCCATTCTCCAATCCAAAGCATACTTGCTTTTCAAGTTTGCAGGCTCTATGGTGATGACAAAGGTTGTTTTCTGGCTTCCTGAACAATCAAATTGTAATATTTTTTTTTTAATCTTCCAGTTTCATAGCACTTCTTTTAATGCCTCCTCTTGCAAAGCTCAATTGGCTGTCACAGTAAAAACCTACAACACTTATGACCCTGCTGCTGGGTCTGTTCCTGTTGAGACAGACCTCAACAAACAAAATAAGAGCCCATTTCTCATTTACAGTCCCTATCCACCATTATTACAGGCAGTAAACATACCATAAGGAGTAGGTAATATTTAAAGCATTAGAAAACCTGGAAATTTAGGAATCAAAAAGCATTTGTGGATCTAAAGACACTGTATTACTGGAATGCTTCCTAAGTCAAACACAAACTGTAAATCCCAACATTCAATATCCAGAACTGGCACAGAAACAAGCAACTGGGAATAACATTTTCTATTGGATTTGCTGTCAAAATTAGGTTTACCTGAAAGCTCATCTTTCTGCCTTTTCTTTTGTTTTGTTTGACTGCATATCCAGTCCAACACTGACCTCAGCACACATATCTCATTAGTGCCCTGCAGTGCCCCACACCCCCATCTACAATGGCATTTGACAGAGCACCTTGAGCACCTGCAAGCAGACAAATTGATCTTTCCCACAGTATTTCTTTTCAACATGACTGCCCTGAGTGTTCTTCTTCCAGTTCTTTACATCTCCTAGAGGTAACAATACATACATTTTTAAATAACAGGCTTGCACAAAGGAATTATTCAATTTAAAGTAATTTCTTTAGTGCATGAGGTCATGGAAATGTCAAAATAATGAGCCTTAAGGCACTGTAGGTAAAATAATTTGGGGACACGGAATGAATTTTTTTTCTAGAAAATGAGCTGAATTTGATCAGTTGTTGCTGAAGGAAGGTATTACCCAAAGCATTCTTCACTTGATATTATATACAAATAGCTTCCTCAATTGGAATGAGATAAATTGGAATTCAATAATATTCAACAGCCATGCTAAGACTCACCATTTCCAGATCTCCATCAGCAACTGCTCTCAGGAGTTTTTCCACCTATGTATGAAGAAAATAACTTATTTGTTTTGTTAGTATTGATATTAAGCAGTACACAGAAAATCCTGTGTCCTTTGCTAACCTCCTAAGCTCATGTAGTAGGATTACTGCTGGCCCATTTCATATTTATTGATAAAGTTTTAAAGGAAAAACCTTCTTCCTTTATGAAGCACAAAAGCTGTACAAGGCCTGTGGCCATTTGATGATCTCTGACTTGCTTAGTTAAAGATAAACAGTACTTATGTAAATTGAGGATATGTGACCCACACATAAACAAAGCCATGTAAGCTGACATATATTATTATGCTGCTTCAGCAGCAGCTGCCCCATACATTTCTGCAGTGAACCTGACATTAAAAACCCCTAGTCAAGACAAATTTCTACCCTAATAAACACTCATACTCTTTTGGACTCTTGCTGACCTACTATAAGCTACCAGAAGCAGAAAGGATGGCAGGGTTTATTGTGCTATTTGAGAAACAACAGTTTAAGCTGAAAAAGATTCTTTCCAATTGTTCCCTTCACATGTGCAGATTGTTGGTTTATTCCTGTGCTAAAAACCAAACACGTACAAACCTAACTTGACTTGTAAGCATGAAATTTGTTTTCTTACTTAAAATCTGAAAAGATATAAACATCAAAGGCTGTGCATTAGCAAAAGCCAGGTCATCAACTCAGAGAGTTGTTGCAGGGGACCAGCATTAGATCAGTTAAATATGTGTATGCTCAAGCCAGATAATGCCTGAGTGAGGCTGCTTGGGGAACATCCTCTCCTGCTCAGGAGCCCTGCAGAGACAGAAGAGACACGAGGGAAGAAGAGATGGAAGGTGCTCTGCAGTGCACTGATGCCATTCCCCTGAGCCCTTGGACTGCTTGTGAAAGCAGGACAAGGAGATGCACTTGTCTGCCCACTTCTCTGACTGCCTACTCTCCCATGAAGGAGTGCAGATCTGACTTGATAGCAATGGGATAGGTGCCAGCAAGAGGGCAGGGAGAGTCCATTAGTCCTGTCACTGGGTAGCTCACCCAGCCCCTGCAGATTGTTGAAGAGTCATTTAATAAGCTTTGTGAAAGTCTGTTTCAGCATTATAGCAAATTATTCCAGCACTGTGCTAGAATCACCAAAGATGCTGCTGCACAAACAAAGTTGTTTCAATATTAAGAAACACCTCAAGTGGAAAATGCCATGGAGTGACAGCCAGTACTTAGGGCAAAATTTCAATCTTTATCTAGAAATGACCACCTTGCTGAGTTTGACAGAGGTGTTTGCTAAGGCAAAAAAGGAAGAATGAGGCTGAAGTTTGTGTTTGACTGGTCTGATCTCAGACACAAACAGCTCAAAGATCAGAGGCTAGATGAAATTTCTCCATTTTATCTCCTTTTAGGAAAGCTGCAAGGTTTTATTTTATTACTATCTTTCTAATACAGGATGAAGGTCCTTGAAATCGTGCACCAGTCACTCAAGGTAGAATCTACGATTCTTTGATTTTCCTTTCCTACCTTTGAATGTCTAAATCTAAGTCAGTCATTTAAACTCCCCCTCTGGTACCTACAGAACAGAATGCAGTTGACAAAGAACACTTGACTGCAATTCAGGTCAAACTAAGCATGTCTGAGGTTAATTCCTCTCTGGAGGCACCAATTTCTTTCCACTGACTAAGGAGGGAAAATAGATGTCTGAAGTTAAGACAACCATCTTTCAGATATCTGAAGGTGGGTGAGCTGAATCCCAATCTAAAATGGACTATATATACTAGGGAGATCTGTGCCTCCCATAAATTTCCCCATAACATACAGGGTTATGGAGAATAAAGACTTTCCAGGAGTCAGTTTTATCACATACAAGATGCCAAACAGTAACAGCCAGTGACCCACAAGCTCTGATAATTTCTTTCCAGAAATAACAACTTCCTTACAGTTCTAAAAACTGCCTCGGGCCCCAGCAGTGGTACAACATCTGTTATGCAGCTTATAGATAATTTAATAAGAGTACTTAGGGCAAAATGTCTGCTACACGCATTTCCCCATCTTTCCAGTTTGTTTTCTCATTCCTCCATGGAACAGAAGTATCTTCCTTTAAATGTAAAAATAGATGAAACAAATCTACTACAATTCACTTGAATGCCCAGTTTTTCAGCTGCTGAACAAAAATTGTGCAAGGACTTATTAGTTCCAACAGAGCAAGTCCCAGTTTACAGTCCTGGTTCTTTTACTCTCTCTTTTCTAAGTCATAAGCAAACCACCACAACTGGCTCATTTAAGTGAACAGTTTAATTCAGTACTGATAACAAAGGTCTAACTGGATTCCCTTAATCCCTGGTGTGAACCTTGAAATCTGGAAGACTGACCACATCAGCTTTCCATTACTTCCAGTGGCATTCCCTCCATGGAGCTCTCCCAGGATCAGGCTCTTGTCTCTTTGGGTACTAAGAATAAGAGCAGTGAGCCCACGTAAAACTTGGCAAACAGAAATGAGCTAAAGCTGGATTACAGGAGAAGGTCATTAACCCCAAGGACCTCAGGTGTAAGCTGCTTGTAATCTTTTTCCCTGGTTTGAACTACAGTCTTAGCTCTTGGGTGTCATAAATTTGTTCCTTCAAGGAAAAATAAATCTTCAGTCTACCTACTTAAAGTCATTGACTCTGTACAAACAGGGAGGTACATTCCTACACTGAGGCTCTCATAGAGCAACTGAAGTGGGAAGTAATATTGTCCAGTCAAAATTTACATCCTTGTGTTTCTTCAATGTTTTTAGCAAACGGAAGCTTTTGGCAAGAGAAGAGCCTTTTAATAGCAGGAAAGAAGGAATCTGAATGTAGAGGTGACACGAAGAGAAACAAACATACTAAGGAGGTCAATTTGGAAAAAATTGCATAGGAGGACTATGGAAAAAATAAAGAGAAGCAACAGAATGAGTGGTGATATGACTGTCTTAGGAGGGGATAAATGGGAAATATGGACCTGAGATCCCACATGAGAAGATTCAGAGGATGGCATCTTGCTTGGTGTGGACAGAGCAAAATCAGCAAACACATACATGCAAGATATTTAATATATAGTCTGTATTCTTCACTTGTTGCAAAATTGATTCCCACGCCTATTTTGAAAGCTTGTCTTAACACTCCAGTTTGTTGTTTGCCAGCATGTCTGTACTAGTCTCTTTTCCCTGACACATTTTGTAAGCTAACAATAGCATCTATTTCCTGGAAAGGACAGTCAGGTCCTTGGGGCACTATACTTTTGTAAACCTGAACAAATTCTCCAATTACACAGTTAACTTCAGTAAATCTGAACAATTACTTCAAATATGCTTTCAATTTTTCCCCAGAAATAACCAACAGATCAGCTGATACCATACAAAAATAAGTGCTCAGGTACTGAGAGGAGAAGCCCCTGAGGTCAGCAGCATGTAACTTTCCAAATCAGACAGAAGGCTATTCCTGAAGAAGCAGCTTAAAACTGTGGCAAAATATTACTCTTCTAGCTTCCTTCACTTTGCTTATTGTCAAAATTTACACCTCAGTCTTACCTCTTTATAACTATTTTTTACTTCTTCTTGCCTTATATCAGTTGATGCTGACGACAGGCTTGAGACAGATGATCCTCTGCTGAAAGTTTCTGTTGAGAGCTGAGGAGACCTAAGTGGTGACTTATGGTTGGAAAAAACAAACAAAATTCAAACAAACAAACAAAGTTACATATCAAATTACGGAGGTTAAGAACAGGCAAAAAAAAAAGTTTAGCAACTTGCTTTGGTTGTTACCTCAGAAGCACTTTGTCCTCTTTCAAACGTTAGATAGTTTAATTCCATCAGTGACAAAATCTGCATAAAAATATTAAAGCAAATCAGTGTAACTCCATTTGAAGAAGAATCCACTGACTGAAACACAAGTTAGGCGACAACCTAATATTAGTAACAGATTATGACTGAGCAGATTAAAAGTACCCATTTACAAGTTCATGTTCTATCCCACAGACTGTATTCCTGCTACTACAGTTAAAGTGTGACCCTTCTTCTTCCAAGTGAAACACACATTTTCACTTTAATGGCGAAACCCTATCAGCAGGTGAGCATCTACACTCTGTGGCTTTGCATCAGGCAGGATTCAGGCTAGAAGATAAAGAGGAATACCTTGGAATTTAATGCACACTGTAGGGAAGTCTCCTTCATCCGGTTTTGAATTTCTGGATTTGCCCCATTCTGCAAAAGCACTTCTATGATCCCTTGATAGCCCCAGCGAGCAGCAATATGGAGAGGAGTGTCTCCCTTCTCATTGCCAATGTCTAGTTTGCAGGAATGCACATCATAGTAGACTAAAGCTTTGACACACTGGAAAGAAAAGGAAAGCTATCAATAAATTATGGTGGTGTCTCTCAATTCAGATAACATGTACTATCCTAAAAAGCTTTTTTTCATTGCTGCTCATATAATTCACTGCCTAAAGAGGAGGCTTAAATGGTTCAGTGTCATTAAATAAAGAGTTAAATAACTCAACTAAATTTGCACTGTATTATCTTTAATGTGAATTCATAATAAAAATTGCTATGAGCGACAAAATAAAGTCCTGATCTAGAGCATTAAATAGTTTAGCCTCCAGATCTTTTTATTTACTTTTGAAATATGTAAGTTTAGTGCAAATTTGCATCACAGTTTAATTCCATTCCATTAGAATGTCCATTTAGTTTGTTACCAAACAATTACTTACATCCTCATGACCGTAAGTGCAGGCTAAATGAAGTGGAGTATTTCCATTATTGTCCTGAACATCAGTACTTCCCTTATAGTGCAATAAGAGCAGCTTAAAAGGAAAACAGAAGTAGACATTTAAGTAACTAAAAAATTAATGGGCAAACAATTATTGCTCTGCAGATTCCTTCAGGGTTCTAGCATGATGAAGCACTTCATGAACCACTACGCCTCCTGTTTCAGACACCACCCTCTTGGCACTGCAGTACTGTTTGTGCCTCACCCTGAGAACCAAATAAAAGCCATTTCTTACATCTCCAGAGTTGCCATTGAAAAAAATGAATTCTCTACTGCAGCAAACACTGCAATACATATCCTATTATATTTTAAGAGCCTATGCAAGTGAAGACACAGCTTAATTTACACGATGCTAATTGAAGACTATCACATATGCAAAATTCAAGTAGACAATAATTACTGTAGTTGCACAGTCTATCCTAAACACAATGTGAAGTCATTTTGCTCATTCCAGTGACTGCAATGGTTCTTCTGTCTCAATCAAGAGCTCTCCATTTTGTACCATGTATTGGACATTTGTATTAATAAAATGGATAAATTATCAGGCATGCACAGCTGTCAATTGCTTGGTTTTTACCAATGGTTGAAAACCTTGCAGTATAAGAAAAAAATAAAATATCTTGCAAACTACAATGATAAAAGATCCTCAATTCTGACACTACACAGTTCTGGTAACAGCTTCTCAGAAGACCTAAATGACAGTAACAGTAAAACAGCTCACTAAGAGCCATATATTTATTATTTAGTTAGGTGTTGGTGCTTACTGTAACATTTTGATATCCCTTCTGACAGGCCAGGTGAAGTGGAGTAGAACCGTGGTAATCTGTAGCATTGACAATGGCTCCTTTGGCTACCAGTAAATCCACTAGTGATGTTTGCCCTTGGAAAACAAGAAGACATTAAAAAAAAATAAGTAAACTTTGCAAAAGAACATTGCTACTTTTCAAATTCAAGCAGGAACTATAAACCAAAATACCCTGCATTTCTGCATACTATGTTTCTATAGACTGTATATTCACTTCCCTGGTATTTGGGGTTTTTTGTTGCAGATTACTCAAGGTCATAAAAAGAACATCTAGCTAAAAACAAGCTATATTTTTACCCTATTTGGATTCAATATTTGGATTCAATATAATAACAATAGAGGAAATTATTTATAAAAAAACACCCATTAAGAAAATAATACATCTTTTAGTAAAAGATCAATGATATAACGAACATTAAAATCCAGGCATTACAGATCTACAATGCATAGCCAGCTGCAGGAGAGAGAAAAGATTCATTTCTCAACCTGCCAGTTCTTTAAAAGAAGACTGGTTTCTGATTTCACATTTATACTTTTTTTCAGAGTTGAAGAAAGCACTTCTGTCGTAACCACTACAGCAAAAGTAAACAGCCAGCAAATAAAAAATAAATTAGTCATAAGAAACTGAGCTTAGAAGAATATACAATAACTTCAGTCTGTGCCCAGATAACAGTTTCAGTAGAAAAGAAGGAAAAAACCCAATTTAATGCAATATTCCAATTTTAATTGTAAAGTTGGAAAACATGCTGACATAAAGAAACGTAAGGAATAGTGAATACTAGTGGGGAAAACTAACACCACTCACCACAAATAGCAGCTATGTGAAGTGGTGTGTATCCCCGGTCATCCCGGGAAAATGGAGTGATAATGGAGGGATCATTCAGTTTCCTGTAAAACACAATGGTTTGGAAGCAGCCCAGTTACCCACGTGGCAGTGGTGAGGAGAGAGAAAGAGGAAAATGGCCAAGGCCAACAAAAAGCTGATTCTGGAACCTTTTATCCTTTCACATGGACAAGTTACTCTATAGAGATCTTTACATTTCTTTAAGAGATGTGGTTTTGCCCAAGATGTGTAAGTTTGGTTCAAGAGATGAAACACCACATTTACCAAAGGGCACAGAGCCTCCATCACAGAACAGGTGGGTTCCAAGGTGTTCTGTAATCCAATATTTCCTCTGCTATTTCAAACCACACAGGCACGCTCTCTCTACTCCATCCTGAAGTGCTACCAAATTCCTCTTTAACCAAAAGCAGCTTACTTTCTGAAGTAAAGATAAAGGCTTTCACACAGCTATTTGTGGAGATGAAGAGTGCTCACCCAGAAACCAGCCTCTCGCATTTGTCACAGTAACAGAGCGGGTGGCACATTTTCTGCACAGTGTCCTTATCACTGTCACCTTGACTTAGCAATCGCTCCACTTCCTCTTGGTTACCTGAAGCAATATGCTACCAAAAAAAAACAGAAAAAAAGAGAATGAGGAACCAATACAAAAGGCCTCCTTTTAAGGAAAAAAAAACAAGAGTAATTTACTGAAGCACAAAATGAAAGGAACCCATTATAAAAGACGTATTCAAGCATCAGAAAGCAGAAATGAACAATGTCACAGCACAAAACCCCCTAATGGGCACTCAGTATTAAAAAGAATCTGTTCTTGGCTTACTTCACTTTCTATAAAAAATTAAAACAATTCCCATTGTTCTCTTTAGACTCAATCATGAAATTGAGCTCCCTCTGTGCAAAAACATTTCTATAAAATTACTAAGTCTCTAGCCATAAGCTGTGAACATATATAATTAGAATCCCTGCTTTGTGTCCTTGTAGAGGCAAAATTCTTTCAGAATGTCAGTATGAGATTAGCATACAATAGGGAGTAGTTGTCAGGTGACCACATTTAAATTATTTCAGAAAACTCATTCAAAAGCTGTGACAGACAACCAGATACTAATATCACATCTGTGCATTAAATGGGCCAAACAATACCAGCAGCAGTAGCATTTCATCCTTATTTGCTTCCATATTTCATGTAACATGCTGAAATCCCTAAGATTACATTAAGTTAGACTGTATTAAGTTTTGGCACAGAAATGTGCTAGACCTAAAAGACACTTTTAGCATCTACTAAAGCACATTTAGCAGCACTAATGTAATTAGCACTTCATAACATTCCAGAAAATTGCAGAAAGGGAAGGATATAAACATGCAATACAGAGGTACATATGTATTTTACCATAAAAGTTATTAACCTTAAACAAGCAGTCTATCGGTGTAGCAGACATCTGGGACAACAAGTTCATCCTTTGTCTTAAAAGCAGCTTGTCACACAGACTCTCAGACTCCTGAAAATAAAATATATAGATAATCTATTCATTTACAAGCATAAGTAAAGTATCTTAACAGTGGAATTAAGTTTTAAAAATATAAACACTCTATTTACCGTGTATGAATTATGAGACACACTGAAGCTAAAATCAGTTTCACATTTAAGATTCTGAGACTCAAAAGACTGTGCACCTGCTGTTCAAAGAAATAGTAAAGAGATGTTCATCAGAATATTCCCTTATTGCAACTTGCTGTGAACTAATTGAACATTAAAAAAATTACGGCTGTGCCACCCTAAAAAGAAAACTAGAAAAGACATATCACAGACAGCAAGAACTGTAAGAGCTGCAACACAGCTTTCTCACCAGGAGAAGGTAAGACAACTTCATGTAAGAGATGACTACGGGTGGCTACTAAAAAAGATGACCCAGACACAACTCTGACTCAAAGACTTTGCTGAACTCTCTGCTAGTTGCTGGAAAAGACTGCACCAGGCAAAGCATTCTGCAGCAGATTCATTCATGCAGTGTTTCCTTCTTGAAAACTGGAGTTTGAGCCAAGCACATGTAGTGCAATTGCATGGGTACTTCTCATTTTCTGAGATATCTGAAGATACACTCCAGGATGCACTAAAGAACATAAATGCCTCCCAAACCAGGTGAAAATTGAGTCAGATTTTGAAATGGGAACGTTGAGCCTCCCATGAAATAAAACATCTACCTAAGGAAAATGTTTTCTAAGAACATAGATGGAAACACTTGCCCACAGTTGATTGTGATCAAGAGGTGCATATGGTTGGCAGTGAATATCATTTTTTTGGATGCTGCTTGGGTAATGACTATCTCTCTAGAAATGGAAAGACTTCAGCCTCCATAAACCGTAAGACCACTTTCCTTAAAATACACACCCATGTATGAGGTAAACTTGATGGTTTAGGACCTGGGCTATGGCTTCTGCAATTATGTCTATGAAGACCAGATATAAATGATTAAACCCAGTATGACTCCAGTCTCAACATCAGTATGAAGTTTAAGAACCTCATGAACTGCAAATATACAAAAGAAGTTGAATACTAAAAATACAGAGTTCAGATTTTCTAGAAATTAAATCATTCCTGTTTCAAAATCAACACAGATGCTTCTCATAAAGCTGTCTAAAAAACCCCTAAACCGTATCGTAAATAATGGCATTAAAAACGTGTTTGTGAGGTCTAGAGATGAAAGTTTGTATCTGTACTTCACAGGATATTGTATTTAGATACCCAAAGATGACACGTATTCACAAATCTTTTCAAATCTAAGTATTTTAGTTACAGATACCCAAACATATCTTTTCAGCATTAAAAGGCACATACTACTATTTTCCTTGGATAAATTTTTCAGTGTGACCAGGAATAACTTCCCTAAGAAACATGCAATCAAAAGTTCAACTGATACAAGTTTCTGATGTCTAATCAGAATTTCTAGTGTGGATGCTCACAGACAGCTTTATACTTTGATTATTAAGAATCTAAGTAATCACCTGCAAGAACTACTGTAGTTTTAGTACAGTTCCTTCCACAGTGTATGTTTTCAAAGAGAGGTGACTCTTAAATAAATATTCCATTTGGGGAACACTTAAGACAGTAACCCTAATAAAGCAGTATTATATATTTATTACTTAAGTCAGAAAAAAAGAGGTCATCCGAGGTGATATGATCCCACATATCTTCAAAAGTGAAACACAGAATGACAAAACAATCAGATAGTGGTTGAAGCATCAGGCAAGTTTGGGCCTCTAAAGTCAAAAGTCACTTTTAACAGCCTTACTTGCAGTCCAGAATTTATTTTTTTTTTAAAGAAAGTGCTTTTAGTGGGACTGTCAGGTATTTTAAGTGTATGTTGTCTAGAAAATACACATCCGAACATTAATGATCTTTTTTATTGAACACTACTCTCACTGTAGAGAAATGAAATATTTGTACCTATGAAGGTGTATCTGTGTAATGATCTATCCAAAGTGATTTTCACAGATCTCAACTGATGACCTGGTGGCAGAAGCCAGGAAAGGAAGTCTCAAACACAAACTGAGGCTAATAAAGTGGTTGGAAGGGAGACGGAGGGGGGATAATTTCAAACCAAATGCTGCCTATCCCATCATGGCTGGCTCTAATTCCCTATTTTATACCTGACTTCAACACTTTAAATAGAGTCTTACTACACAATAGTTGGGCATAGGAATGTAACTAGCATCAAACACTCATTGACTGGAATTCTAATTTAACAATGTTGACAACTCCCAGAAAATAAAACTGATTTTTTTTGAGCTACCAGTTACAGGCTCCTCTCCTCCCCACAACCAAAATGTCTCACCACAACTTGCATGACCTTAGTGAAGGGATTTGGCAAGAATGTCCTAAGTGCAATCCACTTACTGATGTGAGGGTGATAATATGCCCATTATCCCACAGGGTACATTAGTTCCCTGCTGAGTTCTCTTTCTGTAGTGGCTTCATTAGGGATTGGACAGCAGCATTACTCAGCTGCCAGAAGCTCCATCTGAAGCCAGCTATAAAATTAAGCATAGCCACATAAAGGGCTGAAATGAAGCCCCAGGGCACAGCAATGCTCCTGCTCCCTTAAATCCCACACCCCCTTCCACCACAATCTGGAAAACCATGGGGCATCAACATGACAGCTGCTGCTGCTGCTTTAAACAGAAAGTTCATCTCCTTTACTAGAGAATGAAGGAAATGTCTCAACTAAAGTTCCTGAAGGGAGAGCAGTGCTTCTCCCTCTCCTCACTACCTTTTTTCCATTCCTGTCAGAGGGGTATTTACCACCTCATAGTCTTTCATCACCTCATTGTGTACCACATTCTCCCTTCTCCTACACTGGAGAAAAGGGTGGTCTAGCTCTTTTATTTTCTGCTGCACTGAGGGCAAGCCATCACCCACTTCCTCATGCTCGAGGTTCTGCTGCTTTCCCCCTCATCTTGGGGTGCTGCCTTCAAGCCATGAAAGCAAAGCAGAAGGATTTCATGTTGCACACTCTGTACACACCCTGAAGTGAGAAAGTGCTCCAGGTCTGGAGCTGTTCCAGCTGAAGTATGGGCAGGAACACTCACTGCTTGCTCTTCTATTGGTGCAGACACTCATATCCTCTTTTAGACTTCTCAAATACACAGTGCATCTTTCAAGGTAGGTGCCTCCCAAAGAAACAAATACAGCACCTTAGTGGCAGTGGCACTTAAGTTATAATCACAGGAGGGCAACCCCAGTATAAAAACCTGCTATGCTTAGCTACATAAGGAGGGATAGGATCAGGCATTTAGTAGGAAACAGCCTTTATTCTAGAAATTTAAGAGCAATATATTCTTTTCTAGCTTGCTGGTATTGTTGTGGAAGACAATTCTACTGTGGTTTCAGTTCTCCATTCAGGCCTTGGTATTTGTATACTGATTGCAGGAAGCAAAATTGTAGGGCAAGTTGTTTTTCTTTTAAACTAATGTTTTTATTTTTTTAAACACAATTCAATACAGCATTACAGACAAGAAATACCACCACAGTCTGTTTAAACAATATTAAAGTGTTGAGTTTGATTTTTTTTTTTGAGTGTACAAAACAAACCTGCACAACAGGTTCGTGGAAAGACCCCAGACAAGAACAAACCCAAAAATAACAAGAGGTTAAAATGTTATTTTGAGTCCTGCCTTTTTAAGACTGTGCCCCAGGCTGTCCCACCCCAAGCCCTGCACACTGAGCCATTATTCTGGCCCCTGTAGTTAAGATTCCAGTGCTTTGCAGTTGGGCAGACTGAGACACATTCAATTCACTCTGGTTCCAAGTCCACCCCTTTTGATTTCCATATCAGATCAGGACGACCTAGTTTTACAACAGTAGAAAAATTTACAGGAACGGTAAGACTGGATTCCTTTACTAAATAAGCTACAAAGTTCTTAATCACAGAAGTTTCTAAAGTCACACCAATATCACCTTGACTGGCCTGCAGGGATTTGAACAGATTGACAGAAGGTCTAGCTGCCCAGTAGGAAATAACTCATGCATCCATAAACTTCCTGCCCCTGCTAGGTTAGAGATCCCAAGAGCCAAATTCAACCTTCAAATACCACCTTCTCATAGCCCTGCAGTCCCACTAATGTATCAACCTGGTGCAGCACAGGAACCTGCACTGCAAACACACTGAATTTTCAGAGCATGAAGATTTACTGAATAATTCTATGTTACAATGCACTCTCTACTCTGTTAGCTCAGCTAAGCTTTTTAAAATGACACGAGAATTTGTTTAAGCCATGCCTACTATCAAGTACTGCACTGCTTTCACAGCCATGATGGAGTACAAACAGGAGACACTGGACTTACTGAAGACTCAGCTGTAGAAAATAGTGTTGTCATTTTTCCCCTAATCACATTAGGATTCAAGACTTCACATTTACCTACTTCCTCAAGGAGTATACAACGAGCAACAAGTATTGCTACAGGGTTAGGACCTCATTGTATCATTAGATACTTTCAGCATTTGCTTCAGGTAGTCACCTCAACTCATTTCTTTAGCAAAAGAAGGGAATTGTTATGTTAGCTACTTGTATCCTGTGTCTGGATTTACCCCTGCAGTGGTACTCAGTCCTACAAGATATCAGACAGACATTTGACAGGGTTTAACAGTGGCTTACTGTGGGTCTGTCAGACAGGTTGCCTTGTCGTATGTATTCTATTGCAGCCTCAACTGAGGTTAGACAGTATCCCAGCTCATCCTTCACTGAGCTGCAAAGCCTGAAGTTCTTGATGTAACTCAAGTTGGCCATCCTGAAATAGAAAGTTAAAGCCATGAGCCACTAAATATAAGACACCAGCATAATATATTGCAACTTATCTTAGGCTGTTCCGAGCTTTGTAGGTTGATCAAAACTCTGCTATCTCAAATATTCAATGAAGTGTTTTCAACTGGAGATAAGAAATATGAAGGACAAGATAAGAACAGTAGTGGGGCATTGCCTCCCTCACTTCAATGTTGCAAGCACCATAAGCACCAGTGCTGGCTGCAAGTAAAATGCTGATCCCCAACGTACAGGACATAGCAACACTGAAATTCAGTTCAGGTATAGGTGGAAGGTTTAGGCAGACTTATACTGAAGATGAGGAGAGATAACTACAATGGCATAGACCAGCAGGAAGCATTTACACATTCACATCTGGTTTCTCTATAAGGTTTTGCAGCTCCCACCACTGGTGAGAGAGAACCACTGAAGTCCATACTAACATGCAGATTTGGTAGAGATGGCCTCCCATTGCAACTTTTTTCTAGGCTGGGAATCAAAACAAAGATGCATTCCCAAAAGGTCCTTAATTTAGTCACACCTGTAACATATCTTTGCTCTTTGTCCTAGGAACAAACAGTTTTCTGCATTACTGGAAGTGTAAGAGGGTCTGTTGTAAGTTACTACTGCATACTCAGAAACATTTGCCCCTCCAGAAGCACTACATAAGATATGGAGTTCTGCACAGCCAAAGTAGTTACATACCAGTTTGGGATTTCTGTTTTTACAAGCAAATACAGCAAAACAGAGAGAAGATCATCTGCACACATGGTTTCCATGTTAACTAAAAAAGAAAAAAAAATTCACATCTGATGTTACTCATGTCATGGTTCAAAGCAAGAATAGAAACCCTAAATGGGAGTTCTACCTCCTAAAACTAAGGGCCAGCTCTACTAGTAGGGAATGCATTAAGTAACCAAGGCAGCCTCCAGATGTTCTCAATCTCTCACTAAAATAACCTGACAGAAGCCAACACACAAATGCAGTTTGTACTGTACAAACTGCAATATTTGATTAGCATCCCTCTCTTCCTACACAGAAGGAAATCGAGCTCTGGCTCTGAAATTCTAGAGGGCAAAGACTACACTCAAAGTTGATACAGTTTTCTACAACCTAGTAGACTTAGTGGAGAAAGGAAGAGATGAAATAAGGAAAGCATCAATTCACTAGGCTACTCTATTTGCTTAGTAGAAGTATCTTCTCTTTTCAAGCTAGAAAAAATTAATACCAGGTTAAGAGGTTCATGCTTTCCTATCACAGAATCATCTCTGCAATCCACAGTAGCACTTCCAAAGCAGCACATAGGTTTGTTTGTCCCCCACCAACACTGCATTTTAAAAAAGATGCATCTTAAGAGTATCAATTTCAAGATATCAAGGAGCATGAACCAACAGACAAAACAATCTAGGAGCATTTAAAGGGAATCACCCCCAATTCTGCTGCATGAGGAAGTGTCCTGGCAGATGAAGCTCCCCACATGCCCCAGCTAATATATACATAAGCTAACCCAGGACCCCACCTTACCCCACAAGAACCAGTGCTGAAATGTCTGCCCTGCCTCCATCGTGCTCGGTTTGGGGACCTCAGAGACCCCCAACTCAACTGTGTTTGATCCACAAGGGCTGTTCAAGCAGTGGGTTATACACTGAAGTGTTTTGTGTGTGCTGGTTAAGAAAAAAAAGTTGAAAATGATTGATTCACTAATTACTGACCTCTTTGGCTAGGAGACTGCATAATAATTTGTACAACTTTACGCAGACAAAGTAGCTTCTGTTGAGGAGAAGTACATTTGTTCAACTGACCCAGTTCCCGCTTTGCACGTGGTATATTAAAACTACAAAATAATTTGAAAGGGATGATTAGCATACACAGTTCATGTGCAGGATGTCCAAAGCCCAAGTTTTAACTTATTCAGAGCTGAACTGAAGCATGGTTTTAAAGTGTTTCCATTTCTACTCCAAGCACACCTCCATTTCTGTACCTTGCAGATGAAGAGGGAAGCATAAAACTATAAAAGCCAAGCAAACCACCACCAATGCAACAATTGCAAAGCTTTGTTTTTCTATCTCAAAGAAATGAAGATAAACACACTAATGTCTAAAGGAAGACACTTTTTAGCTGACCTGATCCTATTTAAGATAGAATCTCATTGATTCCTCAAAGGAGTCCACAATCATCTCTCACCTGAACTCAGGTTTCACTCCAATGTCTTTTTGCTGCAGGTCTTGAAGGCTCCTGGTGATTTTATTAAAAGCAGCATCCTATCAATAGAAAGGCAACAGTTTTTTTAAAATGCTTTAGATTCATGTACCCAGCATTTAGCAACCAAAGAAACTTACCTCACTTGCCTCAATAGTCCCCACATATTTGAAGACTAGATCATAAATAGCATGGTGGATATACATCTGTAGAAAAAAACCCAGTACTTTAGGCATGAAAGGGAGAGTCAAAAATAGCTTGCTAATTATTTTCCTTCATTTCAGATTCTTACTTCAACTGCTTGTTTGATCAGATTCATCTGCTCTTCTTGCTTTGCAAGCATCTTCTGGAAAAGGAAAGCCACAAAAACAGCATGAGAAAGTCAGATAATTTATTGCTTAAGTACCACTGTACTATGTATTTAGGGGAGTAAGCATTTACCAAGTGTGAATCTCTCAAAAGATGCTGGAGACATTTGGTATAAAGTGCATTGACAGAATCCTGGGGGGAGAAAAGGTAAAAAAACCCCATCAGATTCAGGTTAATGTGACTTGAAGGAACAAAGCTTAAATAAGCAAAGAAAGGAAGGTTTCTCTTCCTCAGAAGTGTGCACTGTGTTACAAGTTTTAGCAAGAATAATTACATTTATCAAAACATTAGGATGTGCTAATTCACATTTAAGAATTTCACTTTCTCCCTTCCCCCCCTTACTCAACTCTAGGCTACTCTGACAGAAAAGCTCAGAACACTCAGACAACAAGAGCAGTGAAACAAATTATATCTAGCAGCAAATCAGACACGGAGAAGGAAGATACTGACTATATAGTGGCGGAGGCTTTTCCTTTCATGTTCTTTAAATGTTCTGTAGAAAGATCCTATGTATTTATCAAATCTCTCACAGTGCCTTCCCAAGAACTCTCTAACATCTTCAATATTTTTAAGAGAATAGGAGTTTGAGGAAGCTGCAGATTCAGCTGAAATGAAAGTCAAGAATTAACACACAGGGTTAATATGTATGCATGAGGAAATACATTTTGTCCCTACACACACAGCCAGCTTATGTGGAATAAAACATTAATGCAGCTTATTGCACTTTTAACTAGAGGTATTGCTTTTAATTAAAAGAATTTAATGCATCACATTTGAGAAGTCTCTCTTGCTTTTTACGTCAAGTATTTATTTGGAATAGCTGAAACAGATTTCACTTTTTTTTTTCCACTGGGGTAATTTACTGCCACATGCACTCAGCTTATGAGTTGTGTAAGTCAAGCTTGAAAGTAGAAGAAAAGCACATTACAGTGTGGACTGAGTGCACATGCAGGAAGTCAGGGTGCTTTAAGTGAGCTGTAGAAATCCCATCTTGGATTTTTACATAACCTATTCTTTATTTAGACACGCTTTCTCTGAATGGGAGGGCAAAGTTGCTTCATGTAAACATTAAACTTAATCCACTTTCTTTCTGAATAAGACAACTGAATGCCTCACTTAGAATTCATATTGCTTTTCCAAAGTTTTTTTTCTAGGCGAATCTTTCATTTGCAATCAAAGTCAGCCAACTAATAAAAGGCTTAAATCATTCATTTCAAATTACTTTTGAAATTAGAAACTACTTCTTCTCTGAAAGGCTGCTATAAACTATATTAAGTAATGGATAAAAAAATGCCACAAGAATTTGATATATAGATTAATATTTTTAGAATTTAAGGCTATATGTATGCCAGCTATTTTTTTCAGAGCAACTTCCATACTTCCCTCTCAGTACTATTTTCACACTATCCCAGTATTATTTCACATTGTCATCACTTGTTTCAAATATTATTTATTTAGGAAGACTTATGTTTTTATTTCAGAAAAAGCTGAAGCTTCTTAGCTTCTTAAGGAGCTTCTATTCCTCTTAATGAGTAAACACATAAAAGTTCACATGGAAATCCTGTTACATTCACAGCATTAACAGTAGTCTTGAAAATAGTGTTCCAGCCCTAAAGGGCACTTTCAGTACAGGAAAGAAATTAAGACATTCAACCAGGAGAGCTGCTACACAACTATGCCAGTCAGCCTCTACCCACTGACCAAGTGATCATGAAAGAATTTACCCCTCCAGCTTTTTGTGCATCCACCTTTCACCTCAAGACACACGTCACATTTAAGGGTAAATCCCTCTTTTAAGGAGTCAGCACTAAACTGAGCACTGCTAAAAAAACCACGATGGATTAAATACTCCACTGATGATTCTCAGTGCTGAGACCTGGGGAGAAATTCAACAGAAGTTTGCCTGGCAGCAACTTCATATTTCTCTCCATCAGCACACCAACATCTGCCCCAGGCAGTTAAGGAATGCCAAGGGCTTTCGACCAACCCAACACTTTTCAGAATGAACAAATGTATTAAGCACAAACACATTAATTTGCTCATTGTGCAAAGGCAGCCACCAAGTTAACACTTTGATACATACTTGAGCTTTCTGTTTTTTCCAGGGGATGAGCTATACACAATATACTAAAGCTTTCTTCCTTTTCATTGTAAAATGTTTCCTCAAAGAGAACAGGTACAGAGAGATGGTAATTAAAACCAGCTCCTAAAATGATGAGGTTTCCTTGTATGAAGATCTCCTGAAATGAAACAAAAAGACCAGATCAAGTGTGAAACTCTGCTAGAAGAAAGTTACTCTTTGGCTTCTGCACTGCATAGTTAAATTTCAAGGGAAGGAAGAGAAACTTGCAAGACAAGAAAGCCACAGATCAAAAAGATTTCACATTGTCATCTGTGTAGACACTGAAACCTCCTTCAGTCTACAATGGCTGGTTAAACCTTAGTTACAGGTACTGTCTTTACAAGTCTTCTACTAGAGGACATTTCAGAAGTTTCAGACAATCACCAAGATCTGACTATTTGCAGATTTTAGGGCACTTCTAGTAGAAAGGAAATTGAAAAAAAACCAACTTAAAACTAGAGCCTAAGCTCAGCTCAGAAAAACACCACACATCTTATCTATGTTTCTGACACTTAGCTTTATCTTCCCAAGTAACTCCAGTGAGGACATCTGCAACAGGAAGATCTAGGTGACAGCCTGCAAACTACAGGTGCAAGTTCTCAGACTGTACTGCAAAATTACAAGTGAAAAAACGGGGATTCTAAGCAGTGTCAGCCTTTTTTGGCATGGCCTGCTGCTACAGCAGTCACTTTGTACTCCCTGAACTAAGACAGACTTCAAATACAATTCAATACCATCATAACCTTGTCTTAAGCCTTGGTGAACTTGCATCTGCATATAATATAGGCAGGCTACTACTTGCCTGAAAGCTGAAGAGACAGTTCTTAGCTAAGTGATAAAGGCACTTCTGCCACTCAACAAAACTCCTATGAGTAAAAAAAACAGATAAAATTGACAAATTTGCTTTGCCACAGTAAGGAAGTCCGAGGCTGTGTTACCATCTGAACAGGACATCTATTGTTGTGGGCATGCCAAAACACAGCTTTTTCTGGAAAGCAGTATATCCCCAAGAAAGCAGTATAACTCCTGGTTACCTCTCCTGTAACCATAAGTTCACACTATCAGTCATCAGCTGCAATGAATCACTTACTGGAGTGTCCCCAAGCTACAGTCAGACATAAAAAGGGAAATAAATACCTTGCCATTTAAGGTTTGAAAGTTTTCTTCTAGTGGTTTCAGAACATAAGATTCAAACTGGCAGGTAGAAAGACTGTTGCTCGAAAGGCTTCCTTTGCATGGAACCAGCACCTGAAAGAGTTAAATCATGCTTTAGAGAAATGCCAGGTATTGCCAGCTAAACAGCAATAGCTTTTGTCCTTTAGAGGCAAGCACTTAAATCTGGTTTATAAATATTTACTACTAAACATGTAGCCACTATAGGTGCTTTTGTTTAAACAAAAGGAAAGGCTATTGCTAGACACAGTCCAGTAATTACCCCAGGGTTTCATTTAGTGACTTATCTGAAAAAGGATGACAGATGCAACTGAAGAAACAATACTAAGAGAAGGAGATGAAATCTTCAGTTACTTAGCACCAGTCACACAAATGACTTAAAATTAAGCAGCTAATAAAAAAAAGTGAAGTATATTTTCAAACTAAAATGAAAATCCATCAGAAAGAAGAAAAAAATTTAAGATGAGAAGCACCTTGGATCTACAGCAACAGATTGGCAGTTTGGGACTAATGCTTAATTAAAAAGCAACAAATTTTATCATCAGGTAACAATAACCTCCACGTTTAATGGAATCTCCACACACTTAATCTGGAATGATTAATTGCAGAACACCCAGATTAGAAATCTCAAGGACTTGATTCCAGCTCAGTTTAATAGCTCTATTTTGCTATGCAAAATGCTGTCAGAAATAAGTGACTCTCTGTCCACCAGGAATTCAAAAGGTCAATCCCATTTTCAGTTACAAGCACGTGAGAGAATATGTAACTTCAGTTCATAGCAAAGAAAATAAATTTCCTGTAAAGTTTAGAAACAACACCAATTTTAACCTTTTACTACCTTAATATTCAAGAGGTCCATATCAACAAATAAGCAGAAAACTAAAAGTTGTTCTGCTTCACTTCCAAGTTTTGCAGGCTTGATCTTTACATGTTTCATAGCAGACATACGATTTAAACTCAAATACCTAGTATTTAATAATCAGCTTTTAAATTTATCTATTTATACTTACAATTCCATGGAGTTCTGCAACTTTGCTGCACAGATCAGGACGTCGCTTCTGAATGGCCAAATAAAAGGGATTTTTCAAGATATCTTCATCATACATAGCCATATGGACTTGAGATATTCCAAGGAGATTCTCTAAAATACATATGGAGAATGGCTGATGTATCACATACAATATATCTGTTAAAATACACTATTTGGGAATACCTAGGGGATAGTTTCATTCTCCCTCTCTGAAAGGACAAAGCAATTTCAGGTCTTGATGTAAGCAGACAATGGCATACTAAGCTATAACTATGGTTACTCAGAAGTTATTCAGACATTACTTTTCATTAATATACATTTCCAATTCCACACTTATCCTCATAATGTTTCCTTAGGCCTTCCAAGTGTTGGAGGCTAACAATGAATATAGAAGAGGAGGAAAGAAGTTAAGATCAGAATTATTACCACTTTGACATACAAGCTAACTTCTGCTGAAATCTAAAACAAGCCAAGAGACAAATCAGCAGCTCTTTTACAGCAGATTCTACTGCCCCACAGGACACAGATGCTTTTGCATTATGCTCATGTAAGTCTTAAAACTCACCTGCATAAGGATTACTGACACACAACAATGAGACACCCAGATAGGGTAACACACACCCTTGTGTAAGGCAATCCTCAACTTTCCAGGGACAGTTACAGAGGTACACCAAGGAGATATGAAAACCCATGTCATAATTAAAAAGTCACTGTGAAACTAATAATTTCTGGTCATCTCTATGCCTGGGGAAAAAGCATCAATGGTTTGTGGTCAGGCTGATGCACAACATTTGGCAAAATAGTGAGCAAAAAAGGGACTGGAGTCAGAAAACCCAATCTGTAAGCACTGGAAAAAGCTGTCACTTGGTGTGTCACAGTGCCCTGGAGAAGATGATCCTTAAGGCACTAGACTCTCAACTGCTTGCTTCCTCAATTCTAATTGTCTATGACATTTTAGAATACAAAGATACAAGAAAACCTTACCAGGAGAATGGTTAGAATAACTGGAATAACTTCAGAGTTATTTTTTAAACAAGAATTGAGATTACCAGGCTTACAAATGCTTACAAGCTTGCTTTACATCTTTGCCCCTCATCCAGCTTCCTTTAGGAATCAACAAGTTGCACGATTTCCTCACACAGTTTCAGCTGCACATCCTGGAAGAGGGTGAGTTACAAACTTTAGTTTGAGCAAGCCACCCTTACACAATCAGTATCCCTCTGTTTCCTAACATGGAGAATTATACCTAGCACATTATTTACTCAGTGTGAGCTCACTGTATGGCAGTTTAAGAGAGTGGAAAAACACACCCCCATTGATTTTAGATAGCCTTTGGGTTTCAGCCCTGCTGTTAACTGATCTACAGCCTGTTAACTGAGCTGGGCTCTGGTCCTCCTAATTAGGCACGAGAAGAGCTGCCTTAGAGAGCTAAATACAACCATGATCAGTTAAAGCTGAAAGCCATTTCCATTATAAAGTTATCACCACTGACTTACAGCTTGGACAACCTCAGCCCGAACCACTGAAGTTTGGCAGTGGCAGGTAAATGCCTCAAGCAGAGTTTTCCTGTGCAGTTCCAGACAAAATGGTCCATCCACTCTCAAAGCATACAATAAGACCAAGAGCTTCTATGGAAGAATACTTAATCAGAGCTCCCAAATCAGCATTCCTTGGAGCACAGCTCTGGAGTCTGCCAACATAATGGGGAAGAAGGTGTATGCTCACTGACACTTAAAAAAGACCAACCAAGTTCAGTAGTTACAAGACCACAAATCTAGACAAAGTACAGCTTCACACAAGTTCCAAGTGACCCAGCAATCTGCCTTTGCAGCCCAGAAAGCCAACCAGGTCCTGGACTCATCCCACAGTGTGTGCAGCAGGGGAGGGGGGAATTCTGCTCCTCTACCCTGCTCAGGTGAGACTCCACCTGCAGAGCTGCCTCCAGCCCTGGGATCCCAGCACAGGAAGGACATGGAGCTGCTGGAGCGAGTCCAGAGGAGGGGGGAAAAAAGATAATTGGAGGGATGGAGCACCTCTGCTATGGAGACAGGTGGGGTTGTTCCATCTGGAGAAGAGATCTTATTGTACTCTCCAGAACCTAAAGGGGCCACAAAAAATGCTGGAAAGGGAATTTGGACAAGAGCCTGGAGTGACAGAACAAGGGGAACGGCTTCACACTGAAAGGTGGTGGATGTGGATTAAATGTAAGGAAGAAATTCCTCCCTGTGATGGTGGTGAGGCCCAGAGATGCTGGGATGACATGACCCTGAAGTGTTCAAGGACAGCTTGGACAGGGCTTGGAGCAACCTGGTCTAGTGGAAGGTGTTCCTGCCCATGGCAGGGTGGTAGAATGAAGTGATCTTTCATGTCCCTTCTAACATCAATCATTCCATGATCTGTCCCACTACAGTGTCTGGGTAAACAGGATTACCACCAGTAATTCCACCACTGATGATGACTAGAAGCATTTCTTGGCAGGCAGCTGCAATCCAAGTTCAAGCTGGAGGATTCTCCCTCAGCCAGTGGGAGGGGAAGGAGAAAAGGTAACACAAGCCCAGGGGCAGGTCTGCTGCAGGAACACAGGTGTCTCATCACTGACCTTAATAAGCACACCTAGTTAGCCACAAAACACAACCTGCCTGCTGAACATCTGGACAGGGCACAACTCCAAGTGAGATCTTAAATGACTGTAGCTTACAGTCCAAACATGACTCAGACAATTTAGTATATATAAGTAAATACAATTTAGTACATATAAGTCAAGGACCAAGCACAGCTGTATGTACACACATGTACAGTCTGCAAAATAGTTTGCCACAGCAAGATGTATTTGGGACTACCACATGCTTTTTTTTTAGATGGCCTCATCACAAGAGATGAAGTGACTGGAGAAGAATCTGAAGTAAGAAAGGCAAGAAGGCCCTGTAAGCAGAATCCAGTCCATGAAAGGCAGTGATGTTTATGCTGAAGCAACTGAATGAAACAGGTAAGAATTTTTTTCCCCAGGTGTACTAAAACTTTCAGTGAAGGGCATTTTTTCCACATCTATCTCAGAAATAGGCCTTAAGTGAAGAAAAACAGGCTCAGATCACAGATCAGGAACACCTTCGGAAAGAGAAGATGAGCATGTGGTTTAGATTGCTTGCAAAGGTATCAAGTCTCACACAGTAAATCTCTAAGAACGTGTTAGACAAACCTCTCCCAGAGGTGATAATGGACATAGTGAAGCCAGGAGGCTGGATTATATGGTCTCTCCAGGCACTTTATAAATCAAGCTTTCATTAACAGAGTTGGCCCACTGAGGAAGCTTCATCTGCCTTTTGTTTGATAAATTCATGTATCTGGTCAAGCAGCAGAAGATGAGGTTGGTGTGTTCTCCCAAGACAGTGACAGAGAAGGTATTAAATCACAAACTGTGCTGGGGAAAAAAAAGCACATTGACACAAGAAGGCAACCAAGCATGAGACTGCAGAGTAAAACTGCAGTGCACAAATGCCTCCAATTGCTACAGCTACACTGCCACTTCTTCAGCTTAACACATCTTCAAGTCTGAAGAGTTCTTCTCCTAAAAGGAGGGGAGGAGAACAACACATTCCACATATCCTCCTCATCTAGAAACCTGTACCTCACCATCAAAAACACCCAACTGATAAACTCTGGCCAGAAAGAAATTGAAAAGAACATTTCATTCCCCAGCAAAACGGGGGAAAGGGATATAGGGGAGGAGGGAAGCTCCCACAGGTTTTCTACCTGAGCTTATGAAGTCTGTAGGACTGACCTAGCTCTTCAATCACTGCCTGCAACTTAAAAAAACCCCAAAAAACAAAAACACAAGCAACTGGAGTACTTTAAGAATCACTGTTGACAGACCATCACAGGAAGAGCTTGAAATTATAATCTTCAATTCGTGGTGTGTGTTACACACTACAAATAACTAGTTTTAAAATACTCAGTTGGAACCATAGAAATTCACAGAACTACTGGGTTGACAGGGTTGAATCACCCTGGAGAGTTCCAGCAAGAAGTGAAAACATTCAAACACTGAATTCCAGCATTTCAGCTACTGTAATACAACTAAGGTGCCATCAACATGCTGTACCTCAAGAAGGGAGCCAAAACTTTCAGTTCACATGGATATTTGTCACCCACCTCGAGCAGAGCAGATTGCAAACTCCAGGCTGGTCCCCACACAGCAGAAAACCCCCACCAGCCACATTAGTACCGTTTTGAGAATCACAATTCTGAATTTCCTTCCCTTTTCTCTCTTCTTTACACCTGCAGCTGCTCAGTGCCACATTAGTGGATACCTATCATACTTGATTAAAATGCAAGTATGAAGAACAGGTAGAATACTTATTACTTAGAACAGTTCAGTTACTATATTCACTTGGGTCTCCATCACCAATCCACAGCATTCTTCAGAGGACCAGAAACGTGGATGTAGAAACCATTTACCATGTAAGTAATTAAAGAAACCAAAGGCATTTAGTCTACAGATTCAAGAGAATACATTAAAGCTTCCCCAAAGCTCAGGCATTTTTGAGATTAAGTCAATTTCTTTCCACCTCAAAAGTTAAATGCATCTGAAAATACTGGCTAATGCATTGCTGTAATTATTGGAATGCATTAGAATCCTCCAGTGAGGGTTTGTTGGCAGACTAGAACATCCAACTTCAACCTACTTTAACTTGGGGGTGACACAGACCTACTCTTCCCAGTTGCACCTTGGACAGCTTTAGATTTACTAACACTGAGAAAGCAGAAAATGAACAAAGCCTTATATACATTAATAGAACTGTTTAATACTTAACAGAAAGCTTGTTAAAAACTGTCAAACTATATTCACTCTTAAGTTTACTAAATTCTATCATGCTGAGCTATAAAGCAATACTCAAGTACTAATGTTATATAAAAGGTTTAAATGGAATCATTAAGTGTGTGGCTTCATGCCTGTAAACACAGAAATAGCTCAAATTGCTGGAAGAACAGAAGCTGGCTGGATCAGACAATCTAATAAGCATTATGTTACAGCTTAAAAAACCCCACAATCATAATCTTAAAACAGCCAAATCCTTTCTAGATCAAAAGCAGAGTGATAATTCTAATGACAGAACTATGGTACAAGGGATAGCTCAAGTGAAAAACATGGAATCTAAGCTTATCACTGTTTTCTCCAAAACACCACAAATTAAGCCTTATTACCTTTGGTACTGAAAACAGTGAACAGGAATTAACTCTGAGAGTTCATTTTGTCATTAATGGTGTTTTCCTTTAGAGATCATCAAGTGAGGTACCTTTTCTAGATCTTGAAGGTTTCAGTTCCTTTTAAGAAGCACTTTGAAATTTAGACAAACAGCCACTAAAGTAGATGATGTCATTTTATTGGCATTGTTACTTGGCAGTTAAATCATGTCCACGTTCAAGTTATACAACTATTTACACTAGTTTTAGGCACATCATCTTCTGAACATCCTGCTATACCCCTCACTGGAGAAAATGCCCTTCATAATGGAGTTAGGGATTGTGTATACAAACACTTCAATGCTCAACAGCATAATATTTTAATATTACTACAGCAGAACAAAATAAAACAGCTACTAAAGTTAGCAAAAAGTATCAGCCTAGTTCAACAACCTGAAATGTCTCCAGGAGAGCGAGTCAGGATATTACACTGGAACACGAACATCAAGTACCTCAGAGCCCTCTCCACACAAGCCCAGCTTTAAAGAAGCAGAATGCCATGTTCTCCAAAACCTTTAACACCAGATCCACTAGCATGGCATGTTCAAGAAGCATCAATTCACTCAATTTTACTTGCATGGCAATACTGAAGTTTCACATGACAGTATCAATTCAATCTTACCTTGAAAACTCTACAACAGGAACGACTAAGGCTTAGTAAACCAGTAACTAGAATATCATTTGCTGAAATGCTCAAAATAATGAGCAAATCAGAACAAGCAGCAACTTATTATTAAACTAGGAGACTTAGAGTAGCAGACATCTCTAACAGTTTTTATCATGCTAGCAAACTGCACAGCCCCACAGAAAAAAAAGAGGAAGCAGTTGTTCCCCAGTTGTAAGTTAAATTCTTTTTTTAACCAAAGTGCTTCCCCCACACACTTCAAGAGCACGACTTGTTCACAGGAACAACCAAAGCTAGGCAGATCTTAAAGTACTAAGCAAGCAAACAGTGAATTTTAAATAGTCTCAGTCCAAATACAATCCTAGTTATTTCTGTAGCCACTGCTTTACCTGCACTATTAGTCCTCATTTACTCTGCTTGTGGGCAAAGGTTACAATATGAACTTGAGCCCTAAATCAGCATTCACATCAAAACAAAAACAAGTAAAAAAAGCAAAAAAAAAATTTCTGTTTCTGAGCACTTAAGAAACCTTACTCCCCTTCCTAAAGGATGAGCACTGAGCATCCTATGAAAAACACCTCCAAGACACATTCCAGTACACCTTGCTAACCACGAGGGAGCAAAGAAGGAAACAAGCTATTCCTATCCCTTCTAGATTCAGGTTCAGCTTCTATTGGTTTCTGTGAAACTGAAGTATGTTAGAATAACACCTCTGAATTATCAAATTAGAGAGTGGTCAATTTGCATCAGTCAGTTCAAGGCTCACTAACAACCAAACTAAGTTTTATGACCCCAGAACATCAGCCTGACAGTGATGGAACAGCATCTGGAAAGGAGAGGTCAGCAGCATTCCAGGAAGATGCTCATTCCTCTCAGCATCTCCCTTCCAGGCACGCAGTTTTTCCACTGAAGAGCTGGCACAAGATATCTTGATTTTGGTTTTGCCTCCACCCAACACTCCCCAGGCCTTTTTAGCCCTAACACCTCTGGCCCTCCTACCACTGCTCCCACCTGCTCAGACAGGCCCCCTCCAAACCCTGCAGCACCTGGGCAGCACCACGAGATGGGCTTGTACCAGTTCCTCCTGCAGCTTCTCATTACCAACCCCACCTTGTAAACTTGAAAACTGAGCTCACCCCTGAAAAGCAAGAAAGTTCACCCTTTGTATTTTAACAGTGCATTTATTTGCACCACAGTTTGATCTGGACATATTCTTACTTGCCCCAGACTTGAGGGCAGAGAAAATATTGGCTTGACTCTCCATAGTCACCTGTTCCTTTCCCCCAGAGGAAGGACATTTCAATATGTGGATCATCCTTCAACAGGCAAACCTCCCACTTCCAGTCACTCCCATATATTTGAGAGCATCTTACTTGTCATTAGCCAAGTATTAGGAACAAGCTGCATTATCCTCTTCACAACAGGATAGAGACTAGATTCCTAATTCTCAATTCTTGCAGGCTTAGAAATCCACTAGAGTAGCTGCCAAAAAACTTTCTTGGCTTACCAGTATTGAAGCTGCACTTAATTCTCAGGTGGGGAAGCCTGAACTACTCCCAACCAAGCCCTAGACCAAAGTGCATGTGGTGGTCAGTGAACCACAAACAGTTACAATGAACATTTAGAGGAAGAACATTAACAGAAAATACAAAGTTCCCAAAACAGCTTCTCAAACAAAGATGATTTCCCCAAATATTAGCGAGCTGTATGGAAGGCCACCTCCTCAGGTTCACAGAGGTGCCAACACTGGTACTTCTTCGGAGGGGGAAGAAAAACAGTGGAGTTGAAATGCATGGATAAACAGAGATTGAATTAAGCCAAATATTTTCATTCTTTAGTTACTGAAGGAAAACAATGGTATATTTCCTCAGGCTGTGAACAGGTCACAGAAAGTAATTTCTTGCCTAGTTACAAACCACCACCACTCACAGCAGGCTGCTATCAACTCCAACACTAGGGACAAGTCTGTAAAGACACCAAGTCTGCAGGGCCAGACCCAGCACAGAAATACAAAGAAGCTGAAGCCAGCAACCCCATAGCCATTCACCTCAGTTCCAATGGTCCTTAGACAGACAACTGGGCAGGAATTTAATTCCTTCCCTGCACATCTCAATAGAAAAACCCAAGTCCTTGCAGGCCAGCACTAAGTCTTACCTCATTGCTGCAAGAAACTTAAACATCAGATAATTACAAGAAGAACTAATTATGAAATACACTGTAGAATTACATTAGATCTCTCCTTTAGGCAGCAGAGCAAGGGGAAGGAAGGCTGGAAAACAATTCAGCAGGTAAGTTCTAACTAGCAAAACAAATTACTCCAACCACCACTAGTGTTTTGATGCTACACAAGGCACCATAAACAGCCTGAGCTAATTAAAAGCTTCCTGACAGTAAACATCAGGACAGAGATACCAGTCTTAACATTCTCTCATGATATAAATTAGGATTCTTGCTAAGGATGAAGTCCCAAGCCACTTGACCAGGAAAATGCTTAGCCAAAAGCAAATCAGAGAATAGTTATTTAAGGAAGTGCACAGTTTATCAGTCATCAGGGAGAGGGAGGGGGTTGATGTCGCATTTTATTTTCACTGTATTTCACCCTTATTTTCCTTCTTTGTGTCAGTGGCTTCAAGCTTTCCCAGGCCACAGCAGCCTACAGACAAAACTCAGTATAATGAGCTTATTCAAAAAGCAAGGCCCTCAGACAAGACTTACCAACCATGTAAACAAAATAAACTTGCATTTATCTAAGTTTCTACTCTATTGAAATGAAGACATAACACTTAATTAGTGATGCATCAAGAAACATCACAGAATATTTTGCAGACATTTTTACGGGTACTTCATATGAAGAATAGGTTCATTTATGTCTATTGCAAGAAAGCCTTGG